ACCTGTTGAAGGTGTCAGCATTGATATGATGTGGTGAATGGAAACTATTCTTAACATCAGTTTCTTCAGCTGAGCTGTGGGGCTTTTAAAAAATACCTTTACCTTTCTTCCCTAATGTATGGAAAGTCTCAAAGAATAATTATCCATAAAAAAATAAGAACATACTTGGCAAATCATGAAGCTGAATTCCCCCCAGAGAAGCTCTCACTAAGGTGAATTCATTTCAGTCATAAGGACAGAAATCATTTGTGAACAATATAAGACTATGTCTTTAAAATCTTAAAATGTACTCTTGTGTGGGCAATCAACCAGAGCACAATATTGTCAAAAACTTGCACAATGTATGCTTTCTAATTTTTAAAACATTCCATCAAGACTCAGAGACAAGTTTACCTGAGGTAGGCATGAGGGTAATATATTTCAACTAACCCAGGGACCATCAAAAATCTAAAAGAAGCCTGAAAAAGTATACATTAAGTTTTTTTGATCATGTATGTTATATGAGATCTCTAGAGAAGATATCTGGCCATGTAATATGAAAAATAGAGACATTTATTCAAGAAGATAAAAGATATAAGGAGCATTGTACATAGGACAATGATGGCTGTGTTCCCTCAAAGTAGGCACTTTGGACCTCACACAGTTCTCCCATTCACTATCAGCTGCTCTGTTGTATTTTCCTGAATCTCATCAATGGTCTGAAATCTCTTCCTCTTTAAAGGTCATTTCAGTTTGGGGAAAAGCAAGAAGTTGCAGAGTGCCAAATGTGGGCTGTGGGGAGCTCATTAACCTGGGTAATTTGATGTTTCACCAAAAAACTCTGAATGAGACGTGATGCATGAACTGGTGCATTGTTCATGAAGCTGCCATTCACTGGTTACCTTTGTATTGCATCTCTCTAATGATGAAGAAATTTGAGGTACTTAATTAATAAGTACTACTTATTAATTGTTTGGCTTGGAGGGTTAGTTATACTGGTATGGACAACACCTTCTCTAATGTATGGTCTTGATCTTGCTGTGACTTTTCTGTGCCTTCTTTGGGTGTGAAGAACCAGGTGACTTCCATTGGGATGACTGGGTCTTCATTTCTGAATTACAGCCATAGACCCACTGTTCATCTCCAATTATGACCTTGAGGAAATCTGGTTCATTAGTAGTGATTTGAATCAAGTCATCAGCAACTGCAGCACGATGTTCCTTCTACTCTAGTAGGAGCTGTGGAACAAATTTTGCCATGATACGTTTCATGCCAAGATCCTGTGTCAAAATCTCGGACACTGTAGGTTTGGGAATCCCCAGATCAGCTTCTGGTTCTCTCACTGTCAGTCACTGATCTTCGTTGATTGTAGCCTGTACACGTTCAACATTCTCAGGTTTCTTCTGGTTGCAGGCCTTCCAGAATGGGGATCACTTTCAACCGATTCTCCATCACCTTCGAAGCATTCGTGTCACACTTCTTTTTTGCACTGTCCAAAAAGCCTACTGAATTATCTGCATAGTTTCCATGGAGGAATGTTCAAGTTTAATGCAAAACTTGATGCAGATTCATTACTCTATTTGCTCAGTCATTTTGAATGCAGCAGCCACACAGTACATATGCTCACTCAAGGGCATCAACCACCTCCACTGACTAGTACAGTGAAGTCGTCATTGTTCACACATGCACATTCCTTTCCTCTCTCTTTGACTATCAGGTTCCATCAATGTCTCTCAAATGATTCTTGTTATATATAGAGTGGCTGGACTTTTTTCAGATAGATCTCTTATCTCTATAGTATCTCTGGAGGTTTAATATCTCTATGGAATCTCTCACAAGATCTAATTCTCAATAAAAATATGACCATGTTTCCAAAATTCAGGTCATAATAATAAGTACATAAATCTTCAAGTAGTTGCAAAATATATTTTGTCTCAGGATGTTGAGTTCTTTAAATATGGATAAGTGATGTGCCTTTCAAGTAGCTCCAACAAGGAGAGAGAGAACTGGAGTGAATGCCAAGGGCAACCAGCTTCCACTTCTAGTGGGCCTTTGCTTTTTGCTTCTGTAGCCATCTATGGTCATTAACCTTCACAAGGTGGAACTGGGCTATAGGAGTTTTGCCTCCATGCCCATTTATTCAGATTTAAGAAGGACTATATTTTCTAATAGCAACTCCTTTGGTTTGGTTATAATATTAGCTCTTCTTTATTAGGTCCATAGTGTATGCCAAAAAGGTTTAAACATTTCAACTACATTACTGCATTGAATTTATGTCCTTCAATACAGCAAGTATCTAAGGTAAGTATAATTATTTCTATTTTATATACATGGTAACCAGAATTTTAAAAGATTGTCACTTTCTGATGCCAGGAAGTGGAAACAACTAGGATTTGTTTTATCCAGCTGACTTCAAATCCAATGTCCTCACCCACTCAGTTCTCTTATACCATATGGTATACAGGAGAGAGTATCATCTTTAGATTTAGGACGGTTGGGTTGAAGTCTCAGGCATTAGCTGTGTAAATTTAACAACTTCCTGAGTCATTTCTTCAGCTCATATCTCCCTAGTTGTAAAAAAGAGGTTAATGATAATTGTCTTTTTTAACTCACAAGAATAATATGAAAATAAATTTTAAAATGAAAATGTTTCTTAAACTATATAGATCTATGTGAATGAATACTATTCTCAAATTTGGACATGCACATATCAAATGCATGTAAATGTTTATAGAATTTAAATTTGATAGATTCTGTGGAGTCAACACAGTGACCATTAATCCAATTTTACATTAGTATAATAACCTTAATTTTTATGATGAAAATTAGGTGAATTAAATGACGTCTTGGCTGATGATCTGATACATGAGCTATAGTGTGATGATTTTCTTAGTCAAGACTCCCTCTCATCCCCACTTCATGGTAAGTAACAAAACTCATTTTAATGTGCTGGACAAATGCTCTGCTTCTTAAGGCATCAAGGATAGAGTGCAGCTGGACCTCACAAAGGCCAGAGAACTGGAATGTAAAAACTGTCAAAAACTCTTTCTCTGTCTGTCTGTCTGTCTCTCTCTCTCCCATTAGCCTCTGTGTGGATGATTTATTCTTCTAAATTACTGAGGACTGACCAATCCTGCTTCTCACTAACACAATGGTTCAAAATGGAAACCTCTACTACATTTACTGTCTCTTCAAGTTCAAGTTTCTAAGGTAGTATTACCAGCATCTCAGGATCCCAAGTTCCAATTCTCTGGGAAGAGAATCTGATTGGCCTAGCCTGGGTCATCATCTACTCTTATTAGAGGATTCCTTAACCTTTAGTACTATCAGCATTTTGTTTGAATCATTATTCTTTGTTCGGCGAGAGTGCAGTGACGCTCTGCTGTGCGTTGGTGGGATGCTATTAACACGTTGTCTACAACTGTGACAGTGAGTATATGTATTTCAAACAGGAATCTAATCTTACTTTAGAATCCTGCTTAAAATTCTTGTCAAAACCCTGCTGCCCTAAAACAGTGTTTCCATGAAATAAATTAAGTCTACACTGCGATACTATATTTCTTCTAACCTTTTGTCAAAACCCAGAGTTTGATAATATTATTCACTGCTCTGCCCAGGGAACAGGGAAACAAGCACTCCCACACTGCTCCTGGTAGAGGAAATTACCGCAAACTTTATAGAGAACAACGGCTCCATGTCTTGAGCTGTGCCAAATTTCTTATGCATGTCCTTGACCCTGTGGTTGCAACTTCTAGGAATTAATACCACAAATAAATGCATGCACATGTGCATGGTAGCATGAAAAGTAGGCTAACGTTTGAGTGAAAATGGGCAGGGGAAACACATACTTCCTACCACAGGCACAAACTGTCTCAGAAAGAGCACCCAAAAGTAGCCATACTGGTTGTTTTTTATGGGGGGCTGAGGGACAGGGGTGGGACACGAGTAGGAAGAAACTGTTTACTTTATACTCTTTCATATTTTATGAATATTGAACATGAGAATGCCTATGAATTCAAAACCAAATTTAGGAAATTATTTACCTTTGAAGCAATATATTTTCTTATACCCGTTTGCCTTTGGTGGCTCACAAAAAGGTGATTAGTTTTGCATTTTATATTGAGATAATTTAACAAACATCTTACACTGAGACAAATTAGACATCTAAATTTTCATCTAACACTATTACAAATTTCCATAATAGCTAACGTTTGTAGTTTAATTTTTAATAATATTTTCTATATGTCTTCTGTGCATTTCAAATAGTGTCTGCATTGTTTTCTATATATAATTTCAGTTTTTGCAGGAAGAAAAACTTCATCATTTATGTAGAATATTTTGGTTTTCCTTTTTTAAATAAACCACTTAGCCTTAAGATTACTGAATGTCCAGTGCTGATCTAAGTACCATATAACTTTAAGAATGCCGAAAAAATAGAAATCTGTATTTTATCAGGTACATTTGGTTTTTAGTGTCTTAGCAATGATGAATAGCTCACGCATACTTGGACTAATGATTAATACAAGAGACAATATATACAAAGGGCAAGACACATTGTTATTTTATAGTGAATCTATACCCATAACTCACATAGGTTGTAGCACTCTGCCTACAGTGAATAAAATAAATACACAGTGCCATTTCCTTGTATTTATTTTTCTCATGAATGAATGGTGATGTAACTATTTGGAAAAGCCCTGAGATATTCAATTAATCTGAAATTAAGTTATTACTTTGTGGACATTCAAATTCCCCACTTCCTCTGATGTACAGTCTCTGAAATCAGAGTTATTTGTTGTTGATATCATTAACCTAGAAATGGCAAAGAAATATAAGGAAGAATTATATATGTTTTATTTGAAAGAAACAAAATTAGGCAGCTTACTTAGATATAAGCAAATTTACCACAAGGAAGCAAAAACTCATGTTCATGTTTATGATCACCAGAGGCCTGAAAATCATCAGTTATTAGAATGACCTAACCATTTCAAGCCTATGCTTTCTGTCAGTTGAATACTCACACGTCTGGCAGTGGTTTTCTGTGGGGCCCCAGCATCGGCCGGTGCAGGACTTATGGCAACGTCCACCTGCAGGAGAGGAAACAACACAGGCACACTTTCACTCTTGGACTGTATCTCCTCAAGGGAAACATTCCTGCTTCTTTAAGAGGGTTTTTATGTCATAGTACAGTTGAAACATGGCTCATAAAATAAAAATTCATGCACCTGCTTAAGTAACAAAACCTGAATGTCAGCTCTGATTGGTGTCACTCGGTGGACTGAGCACGAGCCTGCAAACCAATGGGTGGCCGGTTTGATTCCCAGTCAGGGCACAGGTCTGGATCGTGGGCCAGATCCCCATTGGGGGGCAAATGAGAGGCAACCACACATTTGTGTTTCCCTCTCTTCCTCCCTTCCCCTCTCTCTAAAAATAAATAAATAAATTTTTTTTTCAAAAATAAAACACCTGAATGTCAAATACATGTGAAACTGAAATACAATCTTTTCATATTCAAAATCCTCTCATCATTTTCTATAAAATAAAAAGGAAATCAATGGATTTGTGAATTTTACCATCCGGTAAAAAGTAAATATTTCCATTGAATAAGTTTTGCTTTGATTACCAAGCAGTTTTAAACTTATGATCAGTTCTACTTGCTATTATTTCTAAAGTTCATGGCTTACAGTTACCAAGAGTTATTAAGGACTAAATCAATAGTTAAGTGGAAGTATATGAAAACAAGAATGTGTTCTTATAAATGCATTACAAGCCATCACAATAAGGTTGCATACTTAATTTAGATTATATTTAATTGTAGGAAGTCATGAAGAGGATGTGACCATCAGCTGAACCTTGAGCTCAACCTGGGCAATCAGATATCATCCCCTTCCCCCCACCCTCAGAATGTACCTGACTAATATTCTCAAACTAGCAGCCCTTTCCAGGGTGTAACATCGAGAGAAGAAGCTGTTGTTGAAACCAACTGGACTGCATACATGACTGAACCGAGTTAAAGTCTCTGTATAAACTTTTAAGATTCTCTGGTGATGTGTGGAAGTCTACTCATGTTGTGGCCACTGAAGACAAGCATCGTACATACATGTAAGTTCCCTTCTCATTAAAACCCTCCACCTACCAGTCTGGAGTTGCCTGCCTCTCTGTTTGGTCTCTCCTTGCCCTCGGGGTACAGGGCCAGTGTGGGAACCGACAGCTTTATGTGAAAATTTCAAGCATTTAAACAGCTAAATTTGCCGGATTTCTATTATTTAATAACCTTGACTAAAATTGCTATTGTTACTACCTTTAGTTTCAAATATTAGCCTTAAGCTCCGGCAGCTGTGTCTTCCTCTTAAAGACTGCCACCATGGATATACCGTATTTTTCAGACCATAAGATGCACCTAGGTTTTAGAAGAGGAAAATAGGGAAAAAAATTTGAAGGAAAAAATGTAGTAAAATATTTAATAACATAATATTTCACTAATGTAAGTATAAACAGAACTCAACAGCGGCATTAACTACCATTATTCCTCCCAAATGCGGGAGTCGGAGTCGGGGGTGGGGAAGGTGTGCCTTATAGTTTGAAAAATATGGTGTGTCTCAGCAAATACAGTGCCCCACAGAGAAATTCCCATAAGGACTCAAGAAAAGAAAATTAGCTAAAGAGATCGTGCATAATGACTTCCTTTGAAGTTTGGCTCTGAATTCCACAGGTTCTCTCTACGTTTTTGTGGGTACTAGGGTATGGAATGGGCTTACTTTTAGAATGCAAAGTAGACATAAAATCTATTAAAGCTGAAAGCTTTTCTATAGCATACTCATTAATCCTTCTCTGTTAATTTTCTAATATTAATTCAAATGCTTACATGCCTATTCAAGACATTTATTTCAACATGTTGCAAAAATTATGGAATAGAGTTTCCATTATCAAATGTTTCCTTCTTTTCTTGACCCACAGTTTTAACTTCAACTTGGAAGTTCTTACACCTGGGCAGCTCACTCTCTCTGTCTCTCCTTATGAAACTGACTTAGTAAATATATCAAGTTAAATGCTTTCTCAGTTAAGGAGCAGGATAAGCAGACACACTCTCTCAGGCTGAACCTCAGACACTCCTAATGGTCCACCCTCTGCAAGTGAACAGTAAGATTTCCAAGTTAATACAACACTTACTCTCAATTCCAGTCACCTTCTTAAAAAGCATCAGGGTCCTTGCCACAACAGAGTTTATTTAAAGCAGTTCTGTTTGCAAAGCGCTGCTGCTGACATCACCAGCATATAATATCCTGTCACTCTGCCTGCCATCTGTTTATTTAGATTTGAATGCATTATACTGCATAATGCAAGCTCATTCTAGCTGACAGGAAAAGGACTCCATCTGGCCTGAACAATATAACTTTAATCAGTGATAATGATAATTATTATTAAAAACCTACTGGAGTTCTTTTGAACAAAGCTAATAAATCTAAATTGATTTATACTAGCGGAAATTAGAAAGGACTGTGAAATAAAATGGGACACAGTGAAAACTTTTTCTGAGTCAAAACTTTTTTTATTAGAAAGCAGCGAATGGCAATGCTTTCCTTCAGATGCGTTACAATCCTTTAAATCGCCCACAAAGTGGTCCGTTAACTGAAACTATCTGAAGCAGAGGGTGATCCCCTGTTTAATCTATAACGACTAGTTGTGTTTGGGGCTAATAAAATATACAGCTTTACTCACTGTGTCCAGAGTACTATCTTTAGCTGGGAAAAAAAAACTTACTAATGACATTTTAATATTTTCAGTGTTCCCCTTTCATTGAATTGTGTATTGTTTATATTTTATATTTGTAGCATCAATTTACTACCCCAAGACCTACTTCCAGATCCAAAAAGAAAAAGATTATGACTATAAAATTTGAATTTTGTTTATGGTTCTTGACCGAGTATCATGGCAAGGCCCAACTACTATGGAAAAAGTGATATAGTGCCCACCCCCACCACATAGAAAGTTTAAATAATTTAACTGTGACTGTTTACATGTCATGATATTTTTTGGTAGTTTTCATTCTTATTTAGGCAGAAATACCTATTATTGCTCTAAAAGGATGCCAGCAATTGCTTCTCTTCTGTGATTTCACTCAATTTTATTTATACTCCCTCTGCCCCTTTTTGGAAACCTGAAGGAGTTGATCACATCTCAGAATTCTGCGTCCCTAAATGGGCTGCAGGACTATGAACTGAATGTGCTTCTGTAAACGGTCACTCCTTCCGCCCTGTCCTTCATCTCATTACCCCTAGAGATTTGACCTTTTCAGAATCTGCCCAGGCAGTCAGTTCGGCATTCGTCTTCCAAACTCTGTGGGATATGGCACTTGTGTTAACATTATTTTCACTGAGTTTTTGCAGTTAAGTAAATGTCAAAATATTTTACCAAAAATACTCAACTGGAGATATTTTTGAACTGATGCAGTTGCTACACTTGCATGCCTGCAACCTTGGTCTGATGCTTGTGTACAATTGGGTAGTACAGTTTTATGGACTATTGTGTTTACTATGTTTTTAAATTCTGTTTCTAACTTTTGGTTTCCAACATTGCTGCCGCACAAAAGTGTTAAAAGATGAGAAGGTAGATGAAAGGTTTCCTTACTAATTACATAACTAAAATTGTAAAAAAAAAAACAGAACTTCTTTTTTCTCACTTTCCTTCCATCCATCTATCCATAAGTATTTCTTGCATACCTCCCATGTCTGTATATGAAGAACGATGTTCAGTATTGGAGTTAGGCTCAAACAGACATCGTTACTACTCTAATAGTGTTTAGAATTAATTCAGCATTATTTTGAAGGAAAAAGGTTTTGACTACTCTGTATCTAATATTCATTCTCTATCGGTTTAAGGAAAGAAACCAATGAATCTGAATGGTAGCAGTCCTAGGTCAGGGAAGAAGAGGCAGGTTAAGCCAGATTGAGCTGGAACATTTCCAGTGTAAGACCTGGCGGCTGCACGTCCACTACATCCCTCATACAGTGATTTATGTGTCAGACATCTGCAAGGAAATCAGCCGGACAGGATAAGTATGATCTCTGGAGGGTCCCTTGTTGGTCTCCCCAAAGAAAAATACCTTAACTGTGGCTCAATATCTTATTGAGAGCTCCCTTTCTATCCTCTAGTCTCAGATACACAATACTTAGGCCTGATTTCATGAGGAAAGAGATCATACAGGTCACTAATATTTTAGGGTGAATTGGTCTTCTTGTAAACTACTTCTCTAGCAGTACATTTTTTAAAATGAGGACAGCAGAAAGAGGGATTAGTCAAATGCTGGCCTCTGTAATTGGGAGAAATGCTTTAGGGCACTAGAATTGCCAGGGCTATCCGAATCTGCCTATTTCCATGTCTAAGTGTGATATTTTCTATTGTTTGTTATACCAATTCTTTTAAAACTATGTGAGAACCCTTGACTGGTGTGGCTCAGTTGTTTGGGTGTTGACTGGCACAGTGACAGGTCATCTGTTCCATTCCCAGTCTCAGCATATGCCTAGGTTGCAGGTTTGGTTGTCAGGGCGTGTACAAGGGGCACCCAATCATTGTTTCTATGTCACATCCAATGTTTCGCTCCCTCTCTTTCTCCCTCCCTTCCCTTCTCTCTAAAAATAAATTTTTTTTAAGAAAAAATAATTCAAAATAAAAATAAAACTATGTGAGAAATGTCACTTTACAATAAGAATCTGCTTGTCCAACCCAGCATAGTGATGGCAAAAATTATTTAAATTAATATCTCCTCCTGCTGTCATTCTAACTCAATCAAGTGGGTAAAAATAGAAAATAAAAATTGTAAACAAATACTTCTGTAACTTCTGCAACCATTTAAATCTTTAAAAATCAGCATTGATGTTATTGCACATCAGCGTTGTTTTAATTCACAGGCAATCACCTCTGCTTTGACAATGCATTATTTATTGTAGAAGTTAGCAAATATGACTAAGTTCATCTTTTGTGCTCGTCTAGCAGATGTTACTAAAAATGTAGCTTTGTATTCCTTTTTTAGGAACTAGAGTCCCTGAGCCACTTTGATATTTATAAGAGAGTCATAAATCCATGCTAG